GTTGCGGCCTGGAGACTGCCATAACATGGCTGATTACCCGCTGCAACTTGGCCAAAAACCGCTAAGCGCCCGGCAAAAGTTTTCATTAAAGTGGCTCTCGGCTTTCGGCCTTTGTAATTGCTCGGCATTGAGGAATTCGCCGAGCTCAGAGCTTAGCCCCGTTTCGGCTTTTGGCTCTGACTGAGAGTCGCCAGGTGTGGTCTTGTTTGGCCTACATTGGCCCCAGGCAGCAAATACTTGGCAAATACAGCGACGAACGAATTTATTGGAGAATTTTTATCCGGGGTATTCGGCGCTTGCAATAGTTATTCAAAACTTTGTGAAGGCTTCTAAAAAGAATGCACATTCGAATCGATTCGTAAACGCAAATATTTTGCAAGCTTTGATCTATCATGCACTGTTAATTTGAAAGTTGTGTGTTTAACAGATTTAAGCGTAGCCATTAAAGGAAAGAACTTTTTGCAACACTCATGTTTTCTCATTTTTATTTATCTTACCTTTTTCTAATCATACTTTTACCATTACAAAAAAACATGCATGAAATATCCTACACAATTAGACACATAGTTATCTCTGTCGAAATTTGGCATTTGACATTGACACTTTAAAGCACTCAATATAATGTCTGTCGTTTCTAAATAAATTAAGGCATCCTAAAACTTATGGCAACTCCTCGTTGCCCTTCAATGCTTATGCCAGGCAAATAGAAAATTAAAGCTGAAATCGTCCGACCATTTCATTTCCGGCAGCCGAGCACTGGCACATTATCCTTGACATTTTTCCACCAGCCTTTTGCGCTCAGATTTGACTTCTTCTTTTTTTGGGCCGTCGTCTTCTCGCTTTTTGCCCCGCTTTGTATAATGAATTATCAGTGCGCTCATTACCAGCACTTAAGGGGGCGGCTCCCCGGCAGGGAATACGGGGCGTGGCAGTGACACTGCAGCTTGAGTTTGTTTTATGTCACCGGTGTCCTTGCGCTCACTTAACCGCAGGCGCTTGGAATGCCAGATATAGCCCCATCCTTGCGCCGAGATTCTTTTACGTGCGCAGGATTATTTGACATTGATGCGTTGACTTGTTGAACTTGCGGTGGAAGGACAATATCTGTTGGCTTTGCCAAACAGGGAAATTAAATTCAAGTGACATTTAAGGGTGCACTTGATGTATCCCACTCCTGGCGGGCTAATCAATAAATGCAATTGCCATTAACTTTTCGGGCGCAACTTTTAGCCAGCTCGCTTGTGTTTCGTTTGCGAACGGGGGACGAAACTATTTTTCAATTTTCGCCGCTGGAAAAGTTTTTTGTTCGTGCAGCTGCCTCGGAAAGTAATGCAACATCCATTAAAAAAGAACGACAGCAGCGGCGTCGAGTGGAGGGTAAGGATTGAACGGGACCGGCAGCAGCACATTAAGCAGCCGGCAGCATCCTGTTTGGAGTCCTTCCTTCTCCTACCACATCGATTGCCAATGTGGCCAATTGAAAATAAATTCGAGGCAGGAAAGTACTGAAACAAAAAAATAAAAACACATTTTTAAATATAAGTAATAACCGATTTTCTAACTTTATTCTACTGCCAATATAAGTGCACAAAATATATAAAATTCCCAAGAACTGATATTTTTATTAATATTGCTCTTTCCATAGATTGCAATTTATTTCAATGCTGCATTATATTTGCTTACATTTTAGTGTATTAAAGTGCTTTCCTATCACTCCCATTTTCCCCTTGCAATAAGAAATATTCATTTCCATCCCAAGGCCATCAATTGGCATTTGCTGGTCGAATGTAGTACCGGCCAAAGTTATTACTTCCCACCCAGATTAATCAATACCCTTACTAGGTTCATGTACAATTTTTTCCTTTTCCACTAAAGTATTGGCCACAATGAGAATTGATGCTGGCTAAAAATAGACAAAGCAGCTGAAAAAGAAGGAAAACGAGGGAGCTGGCAAGCTGAAACTGAAGCAGGTAGCAGCTGCCTGGCGCTAAAGTGCCAACTTATGCCACGAAAATGCTTGACTATAATGGCCGTTGTGGGGGGCCTGAAGAATGGCGTTGGGGGCGGGTGGGTGTGGGGTGGCTGGCAGGGTATAGTGGGCGGTATGCAGTTGTGTGATGCCACACAAAGGCCGCCAAGATGACGACAACGACGACATGCAAAAGTGGAACGAGTGCGTCGGCATTAAGTGGCATGTGGAAGCGGCTACAAGGACACTGATAATGATGGAAAAATTCCCTGGGCACATACACATTGCTCTGCTCGCTCCGCTCATCGCTTTATCAGCGCAAGGAGTCAACTAGTTGGTACTCAGCTAGAAAGTGCTTCATCGCCTTGGCGACAACTCAAAGGGAATCTAAAGCCCGTTTTACACTCATCAAAATAGTAGCAATTTGTATCGAATAACAACGATATTTTGAATGCATTTATTTTTCTAGCTTATTCCTTTCTTGACTTCAGTATTATACATTTACTTTTTGGATAAAATATGGAGAATATTTATATTTCAAAATGAAAATGAATGTCAGGTTAAATAATTAGATAATTGCCATTTTTAATAGGATTATCAAAATTGTTTTTCTAATATAACACATATAATGTTAATTTATTCTACTATAAGGTTTTATCTACAGTGTGTAAATATTTAAAGTATTCATCGCAGCTCGGCAATACCAAAACCACCAGGTCACGTACATATCCATAATACCCTGCGCTAGCCACATATAAAAATTGCACTGGCAGCCGCAAGACAGTGACAAAAAGGCACTTGCCGACCTTCCTCCCACTGCCACCCACTACCACCCACTACCACCCACTACCACCCACCTTCTCGTCCCCTGTGCCACTGACAGGTGCAGGATAATGGGAAGGAGGGGTTGGGCTACGAAACGAAATCGACCTTGACTGACAGCTTGACATGAACTCGACTGCTCTCGACGTTGTTGCTCTTTACTCTGCTTCAAGCCGAGATCCAGCATCGGGCTCATTATTTTCGCTTTAGCTGGACAGCAGGCGGTCAGATGGGTGGAATGTAAATGGCTTTGCTCTTTAAAGCCGACAAACCGCAAGGGCTTGGCGTGCATCTGGGCCCGGTTTACGGTAAGTAACTCCTACTAGCCAACTTACCACCGGCCGATGGAGTCGCTTTAAATGGCCAACCATTTTCGGTTACTTTTGGCTTCCGACACGTCTGCGTGCTTGAAATTCATAAGCCCAGTGAGTTTTATCAGCCAGTCATAGCTTAATTACATGTTATTCACGTATAAATCAAAGCGAACGGAACGGAATTGAGATCACGGAAGGAAATTAACTGATAAAAATTCGGCAGAACTGGGCATATAATAATGGTATTCGGGTTAATAACTTCGTTCATTTTTATATTCAGTAAGAAATGTTTGTGACTTGAAATATTTTGTAATGCTTTTTTTAAAAAATCACATGTATATACATTTTTTTAATACATATATGTATGTCTGACATCGAAGGTTTTTTTCTATGTAATCTTTGACTCAGCTGCGACCTTAAAATATTAACAGCTTATGCATGCTTAAGTCGGGCCTAAAATATTTATGGGCTCATGAGGGAAAGGCCCAAATGAGCTATTGATGACGAGGTCACAGGAGGATTGTCCCCGATTCGGGATTGCCAGGGCGATTTTCATTTTACACTATGTATCCCGGAAAAGTAGGCAACCGTTTTCATTCAGCTGCCTGCGGCTCAAAGACAAAGTCAGTCGCTCCCCTGTGCGACATTGTGTGTGTGTGAGTGCGCTTAAGTGCGAAGGATGTGGTGTGGGTAGCTGTATAAAGCGGCTATCATGTCGTCGTCGTCGTTGTCGTCGTTGTCGTCGTGCCAAAGGTTCATAAATTCGTTTTAATTCTGCTTTATGGCGACATCACATCGAACATGAACTTTAACGCGCATGTGACTACGGCGACGGCTTCATTTGCATTTTACAACTTCATTTGGCAGCCGGAATGCGAGGCGAAAAATAAAAGAAAATGGTAGCCGAACCAATTGGCGTAGTTTTGCTGTGTGAAGAAGTTCCACCCCTCGATTTTTCGCTGCGAAATTATTGTTTAATCTTGACCAACGCCCCGCGAAAAGTGAATGTGGCACGACAAGCGGCAATTCAGTAACCTTTAACCCCGGATGTGGACATTTGCACGCCCCTCGATTACCCACCCATTCGATCCAGTGAAACTCGTTCTGCTTTATTGTTTATTTTCTTTTTCTTTTTCAATTCTCAACTAATTTTATTTTTGCTTTCTCTTGTTGTTTGGGTGAAATGCTTTCGAGTTTTAGTTTAGTGACACCCTAAAGTACGTTTTCGGTTTTTGTCTTTTATCGTTTTAAATTACAATTTAGAGTTTGGATCTAATTGGCGTACAATTTGTGACCTGAACTGCGGAACTGAAAAACAAACATCTAACAATCAAACAATATGTCAATCTATCGATCTGCAGTCTGTGCCAACTCATACTTATGATAATTAGGTTCATCTATATTATCCTTGTTTATATTGAGATCGCTTAAAGTACAAAACACTTGTAGTTAGACTAACACGAGAGTTTTATTGGGGGATTCTAGGATTAAGGATTCGATAGGTATTTTCGTGAAATTATTTTGTTTTTTTTTGCTAAGGGATTGCTGTCTATACACTTACAATATCTTATGTTTTTCGACCTCCGGCGTCTCCGAATCGTGTTTAATATTGCATAGTAGCGAGTATAAAGAGTGGAAAAGTGTTTCTATAATACAACAGAGGGACTGGGTATCGAACCAGTTGAATGACCTCCAGCTATCTAGCTAACTATGCAGACAAATGCATTAAAGTCGACGGGGAGGAGCTTGCAGGGAAAATGTGCAGTTCGTTGTTGTAAAAGTAATAATTTACAAACCCAATTATAGGATAAAGGTATCTGTCAAATCACGTTTGAGACTTAAAAAAATCTAAATATTTCAGTTTTAAGAAATGCACACAAATAACTTTAAAAATGTTCTTATTTGCTTTTGTAAATTGCACAAGGGGCTGTAATTTGAAAAATACTTTTGTAGCTATGACTAAGCGTGTGAACGTATATAAAATATATGTAGTAAATTATAAGCTTTTAAATATTGATACGAGGCTGTGTAGATTCCTGCAAGCTCATGCCATCTTTGGCGGACCAAAGTCTCTCTTATTTCCTTCTGCCCCATCACCTAATCCTCCGGCTGTACACAATTGCGATTAGCTCTTGAAAATATCCTGTCCGGGCTGCGGAGAGGCGGGAGATCCACCTGAACCATTAGCACCACCACTGCCATCCCCATTTAAGCGCTTCAGCATGGCGTTTCGGTGTAACCAGTAGGGAGGTGGATCGGGTGGTTGTCCTGGGAGTAGGGTCTTTGTCTTCAGATTGCTGGTCGCTGGCGGTTTCGGACTGTGCGAGGCTGCACTGTACATCACGGGGTCCGCCAACTGCGCCGCCGACTGACCAATGGCCACTCGCAAAGGAGTCTCCTTTTTTCGGATTGTGTCGCAGGTCTCCTTCATCTTGCACAGCTGATCCTGCAGGTTGCGATACTCTTCCAGGAATCTCTCCAGCTGCGCGGCATGATAATCGTAGGCGGCCACCGATGAGTTGGCCGCTCCGGCGGCCCTTGATGCCAGGGCTGAGAAGTCCAATAGGGGCGTGGCCGCACTCGACAGAGATCGCTGATGCTGGACCGGGCTTGAGGGCAGGCTGGGCTTCTGGCCCAGGTGACCCGGCAGTAGATTGCCCTTGTGGGCGCCACTTTGCACCAGGTTAAGGAAACTATTGGCCCGCTGGCCGCCGCCCGTGTAGGTGGCCGTGGTCGAGTAGTTTGCATAACTCGATTCCGCAGAATACCTTCTGCCCAGACCCATCGCTTCGTTCAGGAAGCTGCCATCGCCCAGGGTGCTACTACCATATTTACTGGAGTTATCCGCCAACAGGGGTGATTGGCTATCCGAGGAGTTGCGGAAGTACTTTCCACTGGTCTTTAGTTTCCGGGGGAGCGTGCACAAGCCCCCGTTCGGAGTGGGCGTGGCTTGGGCATACCCCTGACCACGACTCTCCTGCTGCGCCTGGGCCACCGCATACTTGGCTATATCCAGCAGATCCGGATAGTTGCTATCGAACAGGTCGCTCTCCTGCCCCTCGCTGCAGAACACCGAGGTGGCCATTTCGTCTGCCGGATGGTTTTCATAGTGGGCGTATGGCGTGGCCTGTGTATTCAGGGACGAAGGTGCCGTCGAGGTCACTGGCTTGCTGTGCGGGGAATTGATCTTGGTGGTGGCAATGGGTGTGGTCTTCCAGGTGTGTCCGGCATAGCCCGCTAAGCGGGCGGCAGCGTCTACCTGGCTGGAGATCGAGCTCGATGCGGAATCGGTGCTGAAGGAAGAAAATTTAGATACGATTAATTTTCTATTTAAATAGAGCTTCATAAGCTGCTAGGATAAAAAGGACACGAACAAACATTATGGGAATGTATTACTCTGCTGTAGGAATGAATAGTAATAATAAAAATCAATTGAAGTGGTCCTTTGCTTATACAGCCTAGTAATTGCCCACATCCTATATTGGTTAAGTGCTTGACTTTTCAGATTCTCATTATTCGGCAGTGTCGTAGTCCATGAAGATAACCGTCACCGCACATCCATTAACCCGCACTCGTACTCGCAACCGCGGCAGGATTCCTTTTACATGACAAGCGCCAATCAGGCAGAGTGAGTTCTCAGTGTGCCCGAAATAAACCACTTCTCGGGATCGTGTGTATGAGGATGTGGATGTGGTCTTGGATGCTGAAGGCCGGGTGCGGGGGGCAGGACGTTGAATGTGGATGGATGTGCTCGCATATTTCGCGCGTCATTAGCACGCGCGTTCTCATAGTCGCCGGAGATGGAGGCGGATGACTGTTGGGCAATGGGCGTGGGGTTTTTCGGAAAGGAGGCTCGTGCTCAGAGTGGAAGTGTCAAGTGTTGCCCATAATACGGACGCAATACGGAGATCCGGGCGCGTTCCGCACTCGAGCATGACAGCTCTTTGACAGGGACACGGACACGGACGCCCGGTCGGGGGACAATTGCCACTCGAAGTAACGAGAACCGCAGAAACAAAGGCCACCCGAGGCATACACTGATAAACTGAGTGAGGAAATCGTGGTAATGGCAAGGATATAAGCCATACACTTTTAGCTTTCAATGAAATCTAAACATATATTGTAAAGCTACAGATGAAATGAAAAAATTGAAAACGTACAAAAATTAAAAATATTTTTCAATGTTTTCAATTTGAAGTATTCGCCCACCTTTTGCCCGGTGCTGGGCAACTTACCCGCCGATGTCGATGAGGCGCGGTATGTGCAGATCCGTTTCCTCCAGCGGTGCTGAATTATTCGCCCCGGATGCGGAGACAACATGGCCCTGGGAGCCCTTCCTCTGCTGCTGCTGCTGCTGTTGCTGATTGGGATGTGGGTGGTGCTGGCTCGCGGGCTGCTGCTGTGGATGGTGGTGCAGCTGTTGCTCCTCCTCCTCATCATCGCAGTGGGTGGACACATGCAGGTAGTCCCCATTTCTCCGCTGTACACTTCCTGCACTCGGATTAACGATGGCCGCCGCCTGCCCGGCATCGTTACCATTTAGGGGCGTATGAGCTGCCCGCAGATAGCCCTGCTCCTCGGCATCGTGAAAGAGTCCGGCGCCTGTGGCACTGCCGCCACCGCAACTAGCACCTCCACCCAGATCCGGTCTCGTCCTGGCCGTCATCTCGATCTTCTCGTAGCTCTCACTTCTCCTCACCGGAGGCACAGAGTTCCAGAGACGCAACTTTCTCCGCCTTTGCAGCGAACACAAGCAAATGGCCGCAAAGGAGGATCCACCGACGAGGAGCAGGGCGGCTACAGCCCCCAGCAGGATAATTCTTACGCCCCAGGGAGCTTCCGGGGGTCTTCGGGACACTGCCAGAGTCACACTGGCCTCCACTTTTCCAGCCTTATTTTCCGCCGCACACGTATAGATCCCGGCATCCTGCATGTCAGCCGTGAGAATGGTCAGGTTCGAGGCATTCCTCAGCATGTTGACCACATAAGTCTTCCTGCCCTGAGTCGCTGCCGCTGTTCTGGGCTCCGAATCGGAGTCACCATCCCCGCCAGCACTGAGATTGGCTATCAGTCGGTTTTTAAGCAGCCACTTGACAGCCGGTTGGGGAACTCCCTCCACGTAACAGCTCATGGTTATGTTCCTGCCCTCCACTCCGTGGGCTGTGGTGTCCGTGGCCACAATTTGCGGAACGCAAGCAAAGTCATCCACATCGAGCTTATCCCAAGCCCTGCCGGACAATCTTGGAGGAGACTCACATGTTGGCGGTATGCCACTCGGTATATTCTGCTGCAGCATCCAGGACCTCAAAGGACGCAAGGAGCAGCTGCAATTCCAGGCATTGCGGGCCAACTCCAGGCCATGCAGCGAAGCCAGCGAGGTGATGGTGCCACTCCTGACCTCGCTCAACCGATTCCCATCCAGTTTCAGCCACTCCAGACTGCTCTCCAGCCCGGCAAATGCTCGCACAGCGATGTGCGACAGGCGGCAGTCGCTCAGCTCCAGCTTCACCAGTTGTGGGACATGACCAAATGCATCGTCCGGCACTCGCAGTATGGGGTTGCCGCTCAGTCGGAGCTCCCTTAGCTCTGAGACATGGTAGAGGGCCAACGAGGGTATGGCCGATAGCAGGTTCTGGCTCAGATCCAGCTCCACCAGGTTGATCAGCTTACGGAAGGCATGGCGTTCGATCAGTCGGAGGTGACACCTGGCCAGGTACACCTTCTGCAGGTTGAGCAACTGGGCCGCCGCAAAGCTATCGTCGGGTATTAATTGGATCTCATTGCCGCTAAGGTCCAGCAGCTGGGTTCCCGCGTCCAGCGGCTGCGGGATGTGGGTTAGGTTGGCGTTAAGGCACAAGACGGACTCCTTGCCGCTCTTCCACTTGCACTCGCACACCGCTGGGCACTCGGCCCTCAGCTGGCCCAGCTGGGAACAGCAGCACAGCAGCCACAGTAGCAGGTGCAAATGGAGTGGCAGGCGGGGGCGCAGGGGTGGGTGCAGGCGCCGCTGGGGGCGTGGCCCTTTTCGCCGCACCTTCGTCGCCAGCGTGCGGCGCTGGGCGCTGTTGTCGCTGGCTATGTCCTGGCCGCTGGGCGGACCCGGATCCTCCAGCGTCGCGGCTGCTCTTCCCGCTGCCATCGCATACTCGGACTAGAATGATTCCGGATGAGTAACCCGATTGCTATCCCGGTGGTGGTGTGCCGCCTCAGGTCTACAAAGAGCACGAAAATATGGGAGTATGGTTAGTGCGGCTGTCGTAAACTCAGAACTGCGGACAGCTTAATGAAGTACAGGAAGGTTCCCTATATATTCCACTTGATGCACCACCATAAATAATTGAGGGTAAAGCAAGTAAAGAGGGAATCTAGTCAGTTTTGATTTTTATACCGAACAGGTTTTATTAAATGTTTGCCAAAAATGTTGTTTAAAAATTATTTTTACTGTTTCTAAAAAAATCCTAAACAAAAATGTGAAGTATATATATGAAGTGCATATTTTTTAGTAACAGAATATTTTTTCTGCCAGTGATTTGCTAAATCCCCTTGTCTTGGCCACATTAAGTCATAACAACACCCAGCCAGGAGTTCCCCAACCGACTTCCCTTTCCCCCCGTACCATGCCAAACTTTGGCATAGCTAGAATTTGGTTTTCTGTTTTTTCAGACTTTTTATTTTTGGTTATGCCCCGCGGTTTGTTTGACTTGGCTGGAGCCTCAAATCGCCCACTGCGATGCGCGTGTGTATGTGTTTGTGCGGCATGTTGCAATTATGGCCGTCGACCATGCAAGCCAAACACAACAAGTTCCCGGTTTTACCCCCCTACGCGACACTGCCTCTTGCCTGGCTTAATGCATGAAATTTGCATGCAGGCAACGGGGCGTATGCACAACATTTTGGCATTTCCGCGTTAATTTTTCAAGCCCGAACCGCATGCCTGCCGAGTTCCTATCTTGGTCGCTTTTTCGCAAGGCACCTGCTGCTCCTTTTAGCGAGCCCCACCTTAGCTATATAAATTTAAAATTTCATATATCCAAGTAACATTTTTAAAATGACATAAGAGCAAGAAAACGCAGTATATGTAAGGAAACTATACATTTTGTACATAATTCATATTCACCTACAAAAATTACAGTTCGTAAGCTTGAAATTCTCTTAAAACACTAAAAAAGAGTCAAACGAGTATTTTTGGGCAGAGGGAAAAAGCAAACAATTTAATATATGACAAACTCTTTTTCGCAGGTTTCGCAACGAAAATTTGCTTGTTGACTACCCGTTGGCATTTCACCGGAATCATTGAATCGATTTCAACCGGCAAATGTCGAGGCAGTTGCAAGTGCCTGTTGGGCAAATCGATCCAGTGATGGCCGAATTATGAATTAACGCTGCATAAATACTTAAATTAACCTGCCCGGTTGGTCAAATACTCAATTGGGCTCAGAGCAGTTGACTTTCGGACACGAAAGCGAGTTTTTAATGTCGGACTCCAAAGAGGAGCGGAGTGAGAAACGGCAACAGAAACCGCAAAGCAAACAAAATGCTTGCAAAAACCGCGATGGTGTCGAAATGAAAGGGGGTGTGAGTAAAATGGAATGGCTTTGTCACTTACGTGGGGATGTGGGCGTGGGTGTGAGTGTGCGCGTGGAGGGCGTTTAGGGGTCAATACACTGGACTGCAGCCGCAGAAATGAAATGAAGTTTTTGCATGTAGCTAAAAATACTCAGCTGCATTTTTGCCCGGCCAAAACAAAGACAAAACGAGCACGAGTACGAAGCAGATACTGAAAAAGGGAAATACCCGCAGACACAGATACAGTTCGGCGTGTGTGTATGTGGCTCAGTGGTTGTGGGATTGTCGTTGCCGTTTATCATATGTGAGCACTACGCCGTGAAGTATGCAACATGCAAATGCAAATACTGCTGGCTGGCTGGCTGGCTGGCTGGTTGGTTGCCTTTGTTGTGGCCTTTCTACGGCGCCTCCTTCGTCAACCAAGTCCAAGTCGTGTTTGTTCTTCTTGTGCACTTGCTGCAGACACTAATCCTATTTATGTTGCATTGCAGCGGGGTTAATAATTTTATTTCCAACTGCAGAACTGCAGTGTCCGCTGCAGTTTTCCATTGCCGTTGTCGCTTCCAAAAGCCGCTTTCCCTGCTTATGACACACGATACGTGCCCGGGGTTAGAGAAACTTTCCATGGAGTTTGTCAGTTCTTTCTGACGCAACCACACACACAAAGACGTACAGAAAATGGGGAGCAATGCCCCCTGTATAGGACGTTCAGCCCAATGAAACTCGCATTAACGTTGTTATATCCAACTCACAAATGTTATATTTCACATGTCACTGATTGAAATTGTATATCCAAGCTTTACAGAGATATTGTGCTCTTCAAACATACACTTAAATCCAAGCTCAATAAATATATGAAGTTTCTGATATAAAATTTGAGAGACTGTTTTCCATGACAAATACTGTGTCAAATACTCCTGTCATCATATTCATCATTTATATGCATAGTAATTAATTTAAATGGTAGTAAACCTGTTGAGGGCCATACTAAATATTTTTATAAAAGAGATGTGCTCAGAAGCACATCCCTATTTTGTCGGCCTTACTTAAATTTATCTCGTTCTATTAGAAGTCCATAAGTTACGCTTACTCGGTGCGAGATGTATTATGTGACAGCTGCCAAATGTTGGCAAACTTTGTTTTTGGCACGGATTTCTTGGCCAACTTTGTGTAGTTTCCCTCTCGCACACATTCTTAGCCCTTGCTTTAATGTAAAAATAATGTCCTTTTTGGGCCGCATTGATTGCAAATAAATTACGCACACAGCGAGGTGTCGGGGCAGAAGAGGGCCAAAAGCTGAGTTCGACTGAGAGAACAGATTAAGTGGCCCAAAATGCTGCCATCGTTGACTTCATAAAGCCACATATACACACACAAGCATACAAGCAAATAATGGGAAATGGGAAAACCCGGTCTGGCCAAAATGACAGTGCCATTAATTTCACTTTGGCGCCGCGTTTCGCTTGCTGAAACTTTAATTAGAAAATCCCGGCAAAGATTTTTGTGTAATTTTCCCTGCTTGAATGCCTCGACCAAGCCTGAGTTTCCACTCGACGAGCTGCTTCGCACAGATAATGAAGTTCTTTATTCCACTTTTCTTGTATTCTTTGCATTCACACTTCCGGCTTCATTATGCGCAAATTATTTTAGCTGCACTTCCCCAACCGATTTGCCTCCCCCTAGGTTTGGGGCAAATATTATTTCACTTCTGCTGTTCAGAGACTTTGATAGTAAATTCCCATTTTATACCCTTACTCGGGCATCGAGGATTATGTCTGGGGTATTTCTTTAATCCGCGCAAATAAAGGAAACTGTATAACTCGTTAAGTGAGTTTTTAATGCTATACGAGTAGGTTTGGTTAAACTAAAAGACATAATTTTAATATTGTTTAATTTGAATGGGTATGTTTTGTGATTCATTCACTTTTTAGATTACAAATTTTGGCATTTTTGTTTCCTATGATTATCTTACTAACAATCCGATTTTATCTCTGAAAGAGCATTCGGGATTCTCCTCATAATCACCAAAAGGGCAAGCGGAGTTAAAAGTAATCTCTAGACTATTCCCTCCAGTTCGCTGTCATTATTCATTTTTGTGTGTATTTCTTTTTGTGCTGTGTAACCTTTTTTGCCGCATTGTTTTGCAGCTGTAAAGCAATTTTCGCAAACATAATAGACCTTACCAGCTAAAAACAAAAAAAATGGAAAAACAACTGGCAAACGAACTAGTGAGTGGGGAAACTTCGAGCAAAATGCCAGAAAAATAAAAAGCAAGAGCAGCGGTAAAGCAGTAGCTAAGCGTTATTTCTCAAGAGTCTTGGCTCAAGGAGAAGTCTCGCGGGAGCCTGGAAAGTATGGTTATCCCAGCAATTCCCCTCCGCCGCGACCTGCGGTCAGCTGCAGTTTCAGGACGAAATCCCAAACTAGGCCTAGTCCTTGCTCTCCCGCTATTTGCTCCGCTGCATCCTTTCAACTGCGCCGACCCTAGCTCGCTCTCGTTTTCGCCAAGGACCACTTCACTGGCTGTTGTTTGCTATTAGTTGCTTTTCTTTGTCAACATTTGTCCTGCCATTTACTGTTTATTTTAAGAGAGGCATTCCTGCAGGGGGACCGAAAATATGCCAAAAGAACGTCACGGGATTTAATCACGCTTTCGGTCAATAGCAGTGCTAACGACCCTCCTTTAGCTTAAACCCAAAAACACTCAGTGAAAATAAATTTACAATTAAAAAAGAGATCCGAGATTTGAAAACTTCATTTTAAAGTGAATTAGCCAATTGTAGCCAATCTTATGAAAATATGTTATGAATACATTAAATTTTATTCACTTCATTCATCCTGTAGAAGTATACAATTGCATTTTATGAAAACTAAAATAAATTTATTTAATTTCCTTGGGCATTCTTTTCATAGGGGTTTAATTTTCTCTTAGTCGACCAAAAGTCATAAAAAATCTTCAGATGAGAGAATTTATATTGATGCATTTGAAGTAGCAGCACTCAGAAATAAGTTTATATTAAATTTGGCACTTATTGGGCATAATAAATCACTCGTGATGGTCTGGCACATTCAATGAGGTAATTATTACCACAGGCAAATATAAATTTATTGCCATTGATAAAGGGGGTAGTGTAATGTCAACGCTGTGAAAGTTTTGTGTGCGGCAATTAAATTGGCGTTTATCTTGACCCACCCGTAAAAAGGTTGTTGGCTCAAGTTCGCGATAAGCATCCTTGGCTTTGCAAACCTCGCGAACGTGTGTCTTATTAAGCCATAAATAGAGAAATAAAAGTTAAATTATAACCGGCAGCTAGACAGGCACGCGCACCTTTTCCGACCCCTACACCATAAGTATCCCTCCCCCAATAACCAATAATACCGAATGCCAATAAAAGTAAACAGCCCGAACCAACAACAAAGCTGAGCCGCAGGGCCGCCCGCATATTACGTATACGCACACACACACACACCAGTACACGTTTACAATATCCTTAACATAAATATCCAAAAATACTGGGGGTGCTTCAATTTTACGACGATACGGAGTCAAGTCCCTCTGACAACGTGTTCAATTGCCGCAATAAAACTTCTTGATAATATGTGAAAATCATACAAAGCACAATATTAAATTAGCCCACA